AGTGTGCCATTTAAACTGATTATATTTGATTGACAGGTGGGGTACAACAACCGCAGCTATATTTTATTAGCTATCTCTGCTATCTGGTAGCTACCTGGCCAAACACCACACACCAAGAACCACCTGCAAGACTGCACTTCTCAATGGGCGTGACCAGGAGGACGCAACAGAGAGGAAGCAGAGGACACAATGTGACTTTGTTGTTTGGAAGAAAAAAAAACAACAAAAACTAAACTCTTTTAAAATACATATGTGATTATAATGGGAAAAAGCCAAAGGTTATTTAGCGCAACACAAACACTTTAAAGTGGAAGGGGAAAAGTCTGAGTTCCTTTGGCAACTCGAATGATTCAATGAATATTAAACAGGCGAGGCATATTGCAGCCTAATTTGTTTTCATAGACTTGGTTTATGTTAGAAGAACAAAGGGATGGTTTTAACCTACAGCTTAGCTACTTAAAATTCAGCACTGGCTTCATGCACGCTGCTGTCTGTTACTCTTCTTTGCTCAGTTTCCCATTGAAAATAGGTCATTTTCTTACGTGTGTGCTATAAATGGCAGCGGGTGTACGTACATTGACCCATCGATATGCACTAGTGTTATAGGGTCACTTAATGTCATGTATGTAATATTTCTACATGCATATAACATGATTATGAAGGGAGGTTAACATGTTTGGTTCAAGGCTTGCGCAAGGGGTATTTACATAGCCTTAGAATGTACAAACCACAACAGTTGAGGTATATACAAAACACGCAATGATTTTATGCCATTCCCCAGTGTGTACAGATACTAGTTACTTGAATTACTTTGTTGAATTTTGTTGTTTATCTTGTTGTATCCTGTGATTATCTTTGAACTCTGTCTATTATAATTATTGTTATTATTATCATTATTATTTTATTATTTTATTTATTTATTTTTATTTTTTCTTTCAAATTTGTTTTATTATGTGTGAAACAGTCAAGCGTGAGTGAGTGTGTGTGTGTGTTTGTGGTTGTGTTGATTTTGTTGTTTTGATGCTTATTTGAACTTATGTCTCCTACTGTCTGTCCTACTGTATCTGTCTTTTGTTGTTGTATTTATTTATGAGGACCCCCTTGAAAACAAGATGGTGACACATCTCAAGGGGCTTATCCTCCAAACAAATAAATTCAAATTCAAATTCGAATGTTATGATATCAGACTTTCAAATCCGGGCAGCAGTCACCATATGTACCAATTTAAATTTTAAAATGAAATCCACAATTTTTGGATTTGATCCAGATCTATGGAGCTTAACAGTGACAGCCCACTTCGATTCTGGAAGTAAATTTTCCATTCATTTTTCCGATAGCTTTTTCAAAAAAATTCTAATATTAAGAGTTCAGAGACAGAGGAGGCTAAACAGCTACATGATATCTAATATCCATAACACGGCTGTTTTAAGTCAAAAAGCACATTTAAAATGAAAAATTCTGTAAAATTGTTTAATAACTGTGGTTTAAATTACACAAACAGATTTTAAAAAGTATAGGTCTTGTGCTCATTAGTCACCACAAAGATGATTATGCCTGAGCAAATTTATTATTATTTTTTTTTTAATCTATGGGAAAAAATTACTGAGAAATGTACTTCCACATGTGGGGGATGGGGGAACTTTGTGGTTACTCTTGAGTTCCATTACTCATTAACACGAACAAATTTGCATATCAACAAAAAACACTGGCCTGTACTTATCTCTCAATAACCATAGGCAAGGCAAGTTTATTTGTATAGCACAATTCGTACACAAAGTAATTCAAAGTGCTTTACAGAATAAGAAATACATTAAAATCATAATAAAAACAAATCAAAACATAAATAATCATGAAGATTAAAATTAAAAAAGAGAGACATAAATTGGAGAGAAGAGTGCGGAATTAAAACCTTTCAGTTATATGCACAGTTAAACAGAAATGTTTTGAGTCTGGATTTAAACAGCGTCACAGAAGAGGCCTGTCTCACATGTTCAGGAAGACTGTTCCAGGTTTTAGCTGCATGAACCTGAAACGCTGACTCCCCTTGTTTAGTCCTGACTCTGGGCACCAGCAGGAGGCCGGTCCCTGAGGTCCTCTGAGTGCGAGATGGTTCATATGACACTAACATGTCACAGATGTACTTTGGTGCTCGGCCATGGAGAGACTTGTACACAAGCAGAGCTGCTTTAAAGTCTATTCTCTGAGGCACAGGAGCCAGTGCAGAGACCTGAGCACAGGACTTATGTGCTCGTACTTCCTAGTTCGAGTCAGGACCCGAGCTGCAGCGTTCTGGATGTTCTGCAGCGTCTCACAGCTCGTTTGGAGAGACCAGTGAGCATACAGAGGTAGTAATTGGTGTAATCTATGAATGACGTCCATACTGTACTTTTCCACTGACATTTTTTTATTTCTACATCCCAATGTTTATGATTGTTGTTCCATAAAAGTTTGATGTTGCAACTGTTCTTGACCTTGAGCTGGCTGATGTTGTGTCTCCAAAGATGGCCCAGACAACTCAAGGTGGGCACCATTTTCATATGCCACCCAATGACCTATTCACAGATGAGAGGCTGCATGAGAATTGATTTAGGTGTTTTGTTATCAACAGGGGTGACCTTTGGGTGCAGGCTTTGGACAACAGCCTGCAACAGCAGACAAAGAAATGCTTGAATAGTGATACAGAAAAAAATGTGTTTTGTTTTAAAAGATTAACAGACAAAAGCAAGCTCAGAGCTCACTCTCCATATAATAGTCAGATATAAGTCTCTTGCAATACCTTCTTTCCATTGTAGTGAGATATAGTGTTATGACTCACTGTTAAAGTAAGTCAAAACACAACATTGTGTAGGTTATGAATCAAAAACTTACAATTAAGTTCAAGTGTCTGGATATTTAAGTTTGCAAAATTTGTCATTAATACACTTTTTGGTTTTGTGTTTAGAATTGCCTTGTTTTTAGTTTTAGTAAAACGTTTTTGCTATAAATACATAAATGCAATTGCTTCAGCCTACTCCTTTTGGTTTGTGTATGCTTCTGTGTGCATCTGTAATGTAAACTAAACTAAAAATATATATACTAATATTAAAATATACATAAATGCAAATCAAATAGCTCCACACATATTTGCATGTTCAAAGGTGACATATTATGCAAAAATTTTAAATTTTTGCATAATAAAAATTTTAAGAACATATTTTGAGAAAACCTCAAGAGTAAAAGTCATACACATTCAACAATGTTTTGTGGTAATTTTTCATAACTAAAAACACATGAATGTAAATCTGCAGCAGTTAAACAGTTAATTCAGTTAAACATTAAACAAAATGCACAGTGATGATCCTCTTAAGCTATAGTTCAACTCTAAGTACCAGAAAAATTACATGTCAATGGCATGCCTTCATTAATGTTAGATGTGTTATTTCTGCCTGTCTAGACTAAATGGTACACTAAGTTTTTATTACGTCAGGACCCATGTGATGCAACAGGTAATTTTGATCAATGTGACACTTTTTCCAAAATAACATTCAAATAACAGTTAAGTCTATTTTTACCTCCCCTGGGTAATAACAGGGTGGAAAACTTATTAACTTAGCTGATGCTGCTATCCTTAGCCCAGTGTTCGTCCGGTCTTGGTGTTTTATTACTACAAAGTTGATTATTAGTAGCCCTTCCGATCATCACCCCAGACCTCAAGTTCCGTCAATAATTACCTTTGTATGTCATGTATGGCTTAACATACACTCAATACATTCTTCTAAAAAAATAGACTTTCTGCTGTGCACTTAGAGAGACATGAAGGCTATAAGTAACATCGCTAGCTCACATATTAACTAAATGAAGTCCTGCATGTACATTTCAGATTACTGTTGCATACTTAAAAGTGCACTATGTTACTTTTCTGATGGGGCCCACTGCCTGCTTGTGTACATGGAGAGGATATTGCTTTGCCAGGAATGTTTTACATTGCTTCAGTGCTTTTATTGCTTAAAACTACCTTGCATTTTTACTGTTAGCGGTCTCGCCTCTCCACACTCTAAGGAGGCAAGGAGGTGGAAAACCCCTTCACTTGAAAAGTTACATAATGAAACATTAATACACACCAAATAAGTCTCAAAGCCCTATTAATTCACTATCAGTAATATGATTCATTTACAATTGTTCTTCCCTAGGAACTATCACCCCGTTGAGATAAAACAGTGTAATCTTTTTCTAAAATCAGAACAGAGTCTTTAGATAAGAGAAGCTGGTTCCCTCCCTTAAATGGTTAGTCAATTGCTCACACCAGTCTCAACTGTTGTAGGGCCTATTTAGATACACTGTGATTGGTAAAAAGCTTAGCAAAGACCTACTAAGTTCGGACAGATTTAACAACATTCAATATTTGCTCAGGGCCATGTTCTGTTGACGCATACCAGTACTACACTGTGTGTGACAGCGTTCTCACAAAGTGTCTTTGTTATCAGTATTTTTAGTGCTATCACTGTGTCATACAATACCTGCACAACTCCAGACTTAGTTATATAATATTATCTTCCTAGAATGTACATGTTCAGATTGCATAAGACAGGCTGCAAAACTTTAATTTCTTTATTTTCATTAATCTATTGTAGCTTGATTTTAAAACTAATGTCTTACTCTACAATAGTGCAATATATAGATAGAACTGAATGTTAAAGGAGGGATTCCCTATTTGTTTAGTGAGTTTCACAGTTTTTCAGTGACACAGAGCAACTCCTTGTAGTTGTTTTGTCCAGTGTGTAATTGATATACAGTTGATACGTTTACTGCCTTGCAAGACTACACCCCGACCTTACCTTTAGCCACTGATGGTAACTGTGCTAGTTGGCGTCACTTATGGGAACATCTTGGGACCACCTCTGATGTCTTCCTGTCCCCAAGTCCATCTCTCCGCCCATTTTTGCGGCTACCTGCGGAGGGAGAGGTGAGGGTTATAAAAGGCTTTAACCATGGACTGTGTGATCAGTGCAACACCACACAGCAAGCAAGTGCACCAGCCACTGGAGCAAAGGTTCACCTGAGCTATTGCAGCTCACTGCACAAGATCAGCTATGCTTAGAGGCTTTAGCAGTCAGTATATGGTCACTCTGACTGTACTTCTTCTTACCCTGACAAGCAGCCTGGGCAGGTGGGTAAAAGATTGGTTCATTATAACACAAAGTGATACAAGTGGAGACATTTAAGGAAGTTTTCATTGACTATTGACATTGGATTTTTCAGTGCTCAAGATGACATTTCTCTACCAGGGTGGAAGAGTAATGCAGGTAGGTAAAACTACTTTAGATGTCATATATTAAGCAAAATTGTCACCTGTGAGCTTTAAGACATGTTAGAATGTTCCTACCTCATCAAAAACACAGCTGGAGTTATCTTTTATTTCAATTACATGTTTGGTTAATCCTTTATTATTAATCTATCTATATCTCCAAAGCTCAAAATGCTGCGTTCCATCTTGTGATGTCATGTAGTGGCAGTTTTCAAGTAACCAGCTACCTGAAATCAGCCAAATTATTCTATGGATGGAGTATGGACAGGTGTAAAAGAATAAAGCACTTCCTATATTACCAAATGACATCACAAGGTGGAGTACCTCAGCCTAAATATGCAGGGTTTGTGTATTAAACATGTGTCAATGAAACAAATCAACGCTCCAGGTATGGTTTTGATGAATATACATTATAACATAGATCAGAAAATATGGTCCTTTAATTCTGTGAATGCAAAAGATGAGAAAATAGACACTAAGCAAATAAATTAACTCTTCCTCTTTCTTCTAGAATATGTTACACAGTGTCTAAATAATGGACAACCGGGGGCTCTGTGTGACATGACAGTGGTCCAGCAGGGAAAAGGTAAATACTTTCACAAAACAGTTGTAGTTTAGTTGCTATAAATGTTACAAATATGTATTGTTTATTTATTTGTTGGTTCCATATAAATTGTGTTAGTCATAAGGTCATTTGATCTGCTCAAAGTTCAATGTAACGCAAAAAAAGTGAAGTAACTACAACGGATGTTCCCACTTGTACCAGCTGTGAAAGAAGTCAACATGTTCGCAACAGAATATAGGGCACAGTCTTTTGCATATCAGCAATGTTCTGAGGCAGGTTAATCATCCTTATTACATGCTAGTCTATACAAGGCAAGGAAGCAGAAAATCAAGACTTTAATATCCATAGTTCACTACAAAGTCAATTTCAAATAAAACATTTCTGTAACATTTGCATTTTGGACCAATGAACACATTGTTACATTTTGCTCTGATTTGTTTTGTGTTGCAGTGACTAATTTGAACATAGGGCCTCTTTCACTGAATGGTGAGGCCTGTCTTGAGTTCTGGTACTTGTCCCCTGTCCTGCCAAACCTCTTCAGGCTCACAGTGTACTTCAGAGGCAGTAACGGTTTACAGAAGATTTGGTCAACAACAGCCCAGTCCAGGAGTGGAGACATGATATGGACTCAAGTCTTTGTACCACTCAGCAATGTTAGACCTGGGACTCAGGTGAACTGGAACATATTTGTATTTGAGTTTGAGCGAAGAGAATGACCAGAGTAAAATTTCTTTGTTTTTTTCTTATTAGGTGGTATTCAGAACAATTCGTCCAATGTCTCGAGGGGAGCAGGTCATAGTAAATCGTATTGGTATTAGGAAAGGCCCATGTGGTCAGTGTTCTATTCTATTCTATTCAAACATTACAAAAGTATTTTAGATAACTAATATTATAGTTTATTCCCCTTTTTCACAGGAGCCCAGTGTGAAGCCAGCACACATCTGTGGCCTGACCAGTCCACACGCTGCCTCTGCTCTGAGGGCCAGCTCTCCTGCTCTCATGCTCCCAGCTCAGGGATGTGCACTGTGCACAGTCACACAGACTGCAGCACTTTCGACGGAGCGCTCTTCCGCTTCATGGCCCCGTGCAGCTACACTCTGGCTAAGTCCTGCTCTGTGACTCCAGGCTCACCCCACTTCAGCGTGGAAGTGGTCAACAGGCAGAGTGACAACTCCTCTCTGCCAAGTGTGGAGCAGGTCAACGTGAACATCAATGACTTTAGGATGTCCTTCATCAAAAGGCAAACAAAAAGAGTGGTGGTAAGTATTTAAGTTAGTCCAGTGGTTCAATGAGCACTGAAAACATGAAAGGTTTCAATAATATTTATGAAAGTAATAAATGTAAGAATAATTTTAAAAAGCTGTTGTAACATACTTGCAACAGATATACTCCACATGATGCCGTGAGTTTATATTTCTCTATTTTGATTCACTTCCTCTGATCTAAAAGAAAATAGTATAGTATAACCATATTGTAAGCATTTATATTCCATATAACATCTTTTCATATCAATACAAATCTAAAATGATTTGTATATCTACATTAGACATAGACTGATAGCTACTTTTTTATGAGAACATGCTGCTCTTTGAAGCTGGTGACTCACATGGACTATGAGCAAGGGCTGTGTTTAAGGACAAAATGTACTCAGATGATCAGCTTTCTAAAAGCCTGTAAAGCTGCTTTGTTTGATTTCATAAAGGAATACTGTATTTCAGGTGAATGGAGTCTGGAGGACACTTCCCCTGACACTGAACGGTGGCATAGTGACGGTCAGCAGTAACCCTGCAGCTGTGGTCCTGAAAATCAGCTTTGGCCTCTCTGTGTCGTTTGACTACACCGGAGCTCTCCATGTCACCCTCCCAACCAGCTACTCTGATCAAGTCTGCGGCCTGTGTGGGAACTTCAACCACAACAAGTGGGACGACCTCCAGAGGCCCGATGGCACAGAGGCCCAAAACACCACTGATCTGGTTGACAGCTGGCAGACAGGGGGGAACGCCTCAGCCTGTGAAGTCATTCAGGTACCACATTACTGTGACCCACTAGAAGAGGCGGAGTATGCCAGTGAAGCCTATTGTGGAGCTCTGGGCTCACACACTGGGCCCTTTGCAGCATGCCAGGAGGTGTTAGGGGCCGACAGCTACTTCAGAGGCTGTGTGCACAGTATGTGTTCTTCTCACGGAGACCCAGAAGTGCTCTGCGATTCACTCCAGGTGTACGCCGATGTGTGCAAAAGGGCTGGAGTCAACCTGCCAATGTGGAGGAACTCTTCATTTTGCTGTAAGTAATTACAATACAGAGGTTATTACAGAAGATATTTTGAAATGAGTTACACTTGAGTATGGAACAGAAGCTGCACATACACTTGTGCTTTCAGCCCTTCAGTGTGTGGAGAACAGCCACTACAACTCCTGTGCTGAGGGCTGTCCTGAGGTCTGCTCACCTTTGGACCAGGTCTTGTCCTGTGGCAGCTGTGTGGAGAGATGTGAGTGTGATCCAGGCTTCAAGCTGAGCGGAGGCAAGTGTGTCCAAGCAGAAGACTGTGGATGCTGGCGTAATGGACAACACCATGAGGTAAGTTAATAATAAACTGCATCCTAATGTAGTAGGATGTTCATCATGATCTTGTTAATGTTTTCTGCAGAAAGGGGCAATATTCATGGAAGGAGAGTGTGATCAGCAGTGCCTGTGTGTCGGCAACAATAACATACAGTGCAGATCCTCGCATTGCTCTGCCAGTGAGGTCTGCAGTGTTCAAAATGGGGTTAAGGGATGCTTCACCTTCAGTCCGGCCACTTGCAGTGTTTACGGAGATCCACATTACATCACTTTTGATGGCTTTGCGTATGACTTCAATGGGGGCTGCAGTTATGTGCTAACCACCACCTGCGGAGGCCAGAGCTCGGTGGAGTTCACAGTCATAGGGCACAATATGCACCCACCTCACAACAACTTCAGTAACTCCAAACTGGAGGCAGTCACTCTTGAGGTTGGGGACCTTCAGATTACCATCAACCAAAGCGGCTATGTCCATGTAAGAATTATCAAGCCATTTAATTGGGATCAATTTTGTGTGTGACTGCGTTTCTGTGTGTCTGTGTGTGTGTGTGCGTGTGGGGGTGTGGGGTGTGTGTGTCTGCGTGTCTGTCTTTCTATGGAAGTCCTGTTATATATTAGGATGGTATGGAATTCTGCAATGAGTAACTGCTTTTTGTATTATGATTTGAGTGTCGGGTGGCTCTAATACAAAGAGATCAGTAATTGACAAAAAAAGAGTCAACAAGAAAGAATTGCAATGCCACTATTCAGTTTTTGGCTTTGTTCACCAGTGTTTACATTGCTTTGGCGGGGCCTGAGTTTTACAAGGGTTTATACAATACTGTTGCTGTCTACTGTTATCTATTAATGACAAGACCATATGATACTAGTCCATGTTTATTGGGGTCAGTATTTGGGCAGTGACTGTCAGTTGTTTGCCTTTTGGGAGGTATGTAAAACCTGCCATGCTTGGGATTGTTTCCGATACCTGATAGCTTTGTTTTAACTAAACCTGTCCTAATTTCAGAACCACAACAGCCCCGTGCTACTGCCCTATTTCACCAGTGGGACATATGGCCAGGTCAGAACCTATGAGGACTCTGGATACACTGTTCTGGAAACGACCTTTGGCCTGAGAATGATGATGGATAGAAAAAACAGACTGTTCCTGCAGGTGAATGAGCACTACAAATATGAGCTGTGTGGACTGTGTGGCACTTACTCTGGCCGGCAGGACGATGATCTAGTGATGCCTGGAGGGCAAAATGCAACCAATGCATTTCAGTTTGCAGATAGCTGGAGGGTTGAAGACAGCAACTGGTGAGTATTATTAAACTAAAGATGTTCATTCCCAAGTAAACCTGTACTTTCTTAAACTATTGTTAAGGGTTATCTAATCAAAACATGTTTTGTAGGTGTGTTTCTCATCCAAATGAACCCAGACAGTGTAATTCACTTGAGTTGGAGCAGGCTTACAATCACTGCTATGTTCTGCTGAGAGAGGACTTCAGCTTATGCCATGAAACTATCCACCCAGAGATCTACATCACCAGCTGTGTGCATGACTACTGTGCCGAAAATGGTAACTTCATCACACTGTGTGAGGCTTTCAAGTCCTACGCTGCAGCCTGCGCTGTGGCTGGAGTGGATCTGGGCCACTGGCAAGGAGGTACCATTTGTGGTGAGCATTCAGACTCATGTGTGTCTGTTATACATGACTACATTTCTTATATATGGTTCTAGTTAAAGGCATCATCAGTATTTATCTATGTAAATAAATAGGAAGGTGCCAGGGCATACATTATATGTTACATTTTTCCCACATTGTAAACAATGCCATTCACACAGTCTTGAAAAAGTTTCTATACTCTATCCACCCATAACTATGTAGATCCTTGTTCATCCCCTCTGAATTTCAACTCATAACAAAAAACTCCAGTCTGGTCTTCCCTGTAATCTTCTTTACCACCTCCTCCTCCTCCATTTGCTCAGCTGTTCTTCTCTCTATCCCTTCTTTCAGTTTCAGTCCCTCTGCCCCCTATTACTTACCAAGTAACTGCCAGGATATCTTTGTACATTTTCCATCAAAGCTGTTAAAATCTGCTAATTTATTATCACTATTACACTATTACTATGTCTCTTTGTCACACTACCATCAAATAAAAATTATTATTATTGTTGCAGCTATCTTACAAAGCACTGTTAGCCCTATGACTACGTCCACGGCATCTCCAGCACCAGACCAGTCATGTAAGGGAGCAGTTACTAAAACACTGAATACAAAAGTATATGCTTCCAGTTTTTTAACTAAATTCTAAAACATATAAACAATTTACTTGCACTTTTAGTGTGTCCTCTGAACTGTGACTTTGAAAACAATCTGTGTGGATGGGAGCAGCTAGTACAGGACAGTTTTGACTGGACAAGGCATTCAGGCGCCACACCATCAAGCCAAACAGGACCAAGCAATGACCACACCAATGGAGGTAAATTTGTCAAACCACACATATACACTTTGTTAGGGCTGCTGTTTATTGTTTGATTTTCTTGCATTAGTTGGCTTCTACATGTACATTGAGGGAGACAGCGTAACCCATGGTGACTCCGCACGCATGTTGAGTTCCCTGTGCCAGTATGAACGGCCCATGTGTCTGCGTTTCTGGTATCACATGTTTGGGTCAGCCACAGCTATGGCTCTCAATATCTATTTGCTCGAAGGCAATAGAGCAACAAAGATATGGTCCAAGCAGAATAACCATGGTTCTGAATGGAAACCAGGATATGTGGACATCACTACCTCTGGGCCATATAAGGTATATTCACCACTGCATTTCTGTAGAATCATTGACACTGCTAATACACAGTGTCACACTGAATATAGAAAGAATTTGAATCTACAAGGTATAATGTTTCATTCATAATTTTTTCAGATAATCTTAGAAGGAATTCGAGGCTCTACTGTAGAATCAGATGTGGCTATTGACGACATCTCTATTCACTTTGGCTCATGTTCAGGTCAGAATGGAAAAAGTTTCCAGTGATTACCTTATCTGTAGAGACCTACAATGCAGCATGATCTAATGATTAACAATGCTTCTTTTAGATAGCTTCCCTGATCTGGCTAGTGGAACCAAACCTCCTCAAACAACAATACAACCAATTCTTCCACAAACCAATTCTTCCACAAGGTCAGTATAAGATTTATCTATTAAAAATCTTTCTTATATAATATAATCTTTCTTATATAATATGTATGTGGCTAACAGTTCAGGAATGGTGACAAAAATGTATTTAATTATTCATGACATTAGCATCCTTTCCATTTTAGTCTGTAATCTTGGCTGTAACTTTGACCAAAGCCTTTGCAACTGGAATCAGATGATGACTGATGCTTTTGACTGGACTTGGCTCAGTGGCTCAACACCAACTCTGATGACTGGGCCTTCTGCTGACCACACTGGTGGTAAGATCTGTTTCATAGAAAACAACAGCTTTGAAATAATAATAATGGGCAGCAATTAATATACAACTATTTCCAATCTGATAGGTGGTCACTACCTTTACATTGAGGCCAGCAGTGTGACGTATGGAGACACAGCTCGTCTGATCAGTTCAGAGTGCTCCAACTCTGGAGCCCAGTGTCTACAGTTCTGGTATCACATGTACGGGTCTGCAGACACTATGGGTCTCCATGTTTATGTCGTCGAGGGCACGACTGGTCGCTTGGTTTGGCGCCAAAGAAATGACCAAGGAAATATGTGGCACTTGGCACAAGTTGACCTCACAACAACAGGACCATTTCAGGTAGTGCAAGTATAAACTAAAAAAACATTCATGTCAAAAAAGACAACTAACCTGTACACATTTTAGATCATTTTTGAGGGAAGAAGAGGATCTAATGATCAGTCAGATGTGGCATTAGATGATGTATCACTTTATTATGGACCATGTTCAGGTATGGTTTTATGATTTTATTATTTTATTTTTTGGAATAACAAAAGTGATATTATATTATTTTAAGAAATATGAGGGTACAACAGATGTTGTACACATGATAGATGGATAGATGCTTTATTGATCCTGCAGGAAATTGTAATTGATTTAATTTATCTGTCCCCATTTCAATTAAATAATAAAATCCCTATGAAGTGTTGTGAGTGTGATGGCATCAGCCATTTTAGAAGCCTGTATAACAAAATTAATATAATATTATATTCTTATGGCAGATATGAATAAACCAGCAACAAGTAGGCCTGCCACTTCTGCTGCTCACATTTCAACCACATCTAAACCTCAAACAACAGCAGGACAAGAACCTGCCACCACGCAGGAACAGACAGCATCAAGTGATGGACCACAGTCACCAACCACAGACCAAACCGTAGAAGTAACAACCGCACCCGAACCTACCACTGAGGCTGAACCCGAAGCAGAGATAACAACTGATGGGTCACAACCAACTACTTCAGGAGCCTTACAGACAACACCAGTAGAGCCTGTAGAACCAACCAGGCCAACTGAAGGAAAAACAACCAAAGGACCTCAACAGCCAACAAACAATTTTACAGGCCAAACAACACAGGACACAGCTCATCTACACACAACACTAGCAGGAGACCAGTCAACTGTTGGTGCAGGTAACACAGAACAGCCAACACCATCGCAAGGACCACACCACACAACTCTAGAAGAACCAGAGACAGCACCAACACAGGCTGCAACAATAGGTCAAACAATACAACCAACTAGGCCAGCAGAAGGGCTGACCACAGCTAACCAGGAAACATCAGCAACTTCTAAGAGACCACAGCAAACATCAGCAGGTACAAATGAAGGTTCAAATGTTACATCACCACCACAAACGACTGCAGCAAGACCGGAGACAGGTGCATCCACTGAAAGACCACAACCTCCAACTGAAGTGATACCCCAAGGTAAGTGTTATATTTCCAAAAGATGCATTAACTAATTATTGGTTTGATTTCAAAGGTGCCCCTGGTTGAAAGTTCACATATTTCTTCCCAGCCTGCAGTCTCAACTGTAACTTCGACCAAAGCCTTTGCAACTGGAATCAGATGGTGACTGATGCTTTTGACTGGACTTGGCACAGTGGCGCAACACCTACTCTGATGACTGGGCCTTCTGCAGACCACACCGGAGGTAAGATATGGGCCACAAAAACTGATCTGATGTAAATTTGTTAAGGACAATTCATAATTTTTGTACATTTTGTACTTGATCTTCCAAGGTGGTCACTACCTTTACATTGAGGCCAGCAGTGTGACATATGGAGACACAGCTCGTCTGATCAGTTCAGAGTGCTTCAACTCTGGAGACCAGTGTCTACAATTCTGGTATCACATGTACGGATCTGCAGACACTATGGGCCTTCACGTCTATGTGGTTGAGGGCACAATCGCTCACTCAGTTTGGCGTCAAAGAAATGACCAAGGAAATATGTGGCACTTCACACAAGTCGACCTAACAACAACAGGACCATTTCAGGTATCATCTTGTTCCTCTGAAAAGTTGGAATGACTTGTAATCTTTAATGAAACATTTTTTAATTAACATTTTAGATTATTTTTGAGGGGAGAAGAGGATCTAATGATCAGTCTGATGTCGCAATAGATGATGTGTCACTTCATTACGGACCATGTCAGTGTTATCTTTATTTATTTATTTTTTTGATTAAACACTTCAACAATTCAAAATAACAGAATAATACACTATACTACTATGTGATATATATTTATGTGTATTTGCTATATTTTTATATATTTATTTTGTGGCAGGCTTGAATAGACCCACAACCGCTGCACCAATCACAACTTCACAAGTTGTTACAACAGCTCTTGGAACTTCAGAACCAGCAGAGACTCCTGCTCCACCTCCTCCTCCCACAGACAGTTCCACAGCAGCCCCTCCCACTCCTACTACAACTGCACCCCATACAACTACAGGAGCCCAAACAACAACTGTTCCTACACAGACTACTACAACACTGAGCCCACCTCCTCCTCCAACAACTACAGCCAACCCTCTTCCTCCAGAAACTCCCGGTCCAAGTACGTCATGTTTAAAAGTATGTGATAATGTAGAACTTCTAAGTGATTAATTTGTTGGTTTTATTGGCTTTTCCACAGCAGCCCCTCCCACTCCAACTACAACTGCACCCCATACAACTACAGGAGCCCAACCAACAACTGCTCCTACACAGACCACTACAACAGTGAGCTTACCTCCTCCAACAACTACAGCCTCCCCTCTTCCTCCAGAAACTCCCAGTCCAAGTAAGTCATGTTTAAAAGTTTGAAATGTAGTCTGTTCTATGTGGTAAATTTGTGGGTTTTATTTGTTTTTCTCTTAGCTCCCTCATGTCCACGCAACAGTCACTACAGCTCTTGTGTTTCGGCTTGTGCACCCACCTGCTCTCACCTGTACGGCTCCCCTGGCTGCAGTGAAAGTGATTGCGTACCGGGATGTGTTTGTGATGATGGTTATGTGCTAGAAAGGAGAAAGTGTGTGCCCATCCAAGAATGTGGTTGTATAGATCTCAATGGAAAGAAATATAACGTAAGTATATTTTCATTATCGCATGTAAACGTATACTTTTTTCTGTCTAAACTGGTGTCTTTCACGTTTAGTTTGGTGATGTCTGGTATTTGAGCCACTGCAGCGAAAAATGCAAATGTGAAAAACGTAGAGGTGTGGGAAGAATCGAATGTGAAGAGCAAGAAGAATGTGATGGAAAAGCTGTTTGTCTTCAGAATAGCAATGGGGAATATTTTTGTGAGAAAACAGGTAATGTAGTCAAACACAAAAAGTGGTGGACAGATACATTTTAGATATCGGTACTTTACTTAAGTATGTTAAAGTGAATACTTTTTACTTTTACTTCACTACATCTGAGAGCAGGTGTCTGTACATTCCATTCCACTACATTTTGGAATTGGACTCAAAAGTAATTTTCATTCTTGCTTGAGACCTGCTGCAAGGCTGAGGTTTATTTTTGACACATTAAGTAACTGGAGCAAAAAATACAAATAAAAACAGCCATGAAAAATATGAAAATCAGTATTAAAATCACTAGATTTGAAGCTTTATTAGAATTCAAACTCTGCACTAAGTACATTTTAAATGGGTACTTTCATAGTTTTACTTACATAGATTTTTTCATGTGACACTTTTACTTCAGTATTTTTTACTCCGGTATCTGTGATTTCAGTTAAGTAACAAAATGTAATGTTTCTTCCACCACTGAAACCAAGCAAATCATACTGATTACTGTGCAAATACTTAACATTTAAGACGTGTAAATGTAATGTTACAGATTTCAGTGACTGCACAATCAACGGAGACCCTGAGTACAGAACTTTTGACAACAAGAAGCACGACTTTGAGGGCGAGCACTCATACATGTTAGTGCAGACCAACAATTTACCTATTAATCTTCAGAGTGTTTACATAGAAGGCATCAATGGACACTCAGAAGATGACGAAGACAGCAGTGAAGAAAGGCACAGTCGTCAAGCTCGAGATGATAGTGATGAAGATGATGATGATAGTGATGAGGACAGTGATGAAGATAAAGAGGATGTACTGAGAGCACTGAAGATCAGAGTGTACAATCACACTGTGGTGTTCAAGCCACACAGGAAGCTTGTTGTAAGTATTGATGATATATGTCATGTTTATTATCATTTTTGAGCGAAGAAGGTTTTTGTTTTATGGGTGAAAAGGATCTGCTAACCCTACCTGACAAGTCCTCCTCTTCAGCTGAACTGAGACTTTTGTTTGATTTATTCTATGTTCCTGTATTTTAACTACTTAATGTGTTTGAATAAATTAAGATGTTATTGACTGATAGATTAATTGAAATTTTGTTTGGTTTTAGGTGGATGGAAGCAGAGTTGACACCCCACTCTCACCATCTGCTGGTCTAAAAATTAAAGAGCATTCGTCACGCATTTACTTGCAAACTGACTTTGGCCTTTCAGTTGAGTTTGATGGTCACAGCAAAGCAGGTAAATATTTTTCATATGTAAAGTAAGCAACAATTAACATGAGGCTCATGTATTACTATGTATTATAAATCCACAGAAATCATTCTACCCCATGTGTATAAACGGAAGGTTGGAGGGCTTTGTGGCAACTTTGATGGTCACAAACACAATGACTTTATGAAGCCAGATGGAACACAGGCTACAAATGTGCAGGACTTTGGAGAGAGCTGGAGAGTATGAATTGCAGCAATTTTGCACTTAATGTTTAACAATACTGGTTGAAATGAAACCTTACATATATTATTATTACTACATACAGTATGTCTGTGTGACACAAAGGTTTTAAGACTATAGATGAACCTGTGTCATCATTCACTATGTATGTATATATGTATGCATGTATTAAATGTGTTGCAATGTACAGTGTTGTACTTAATTATAAGGGGTTGTGCAAAAAGGATCAGGCAATATATTTAAAAATAAAAGTTATTTTTAACAGACCAGTGTGTTGTTTACACAAATCTTGACATGTTTCAAATGCCTTCTGTATTCTTCTTCAGTTATCTGAATCAGTTATATGAATCCACTGGCAAGGATTACATGACATTGGGTAATTTACCCAGATTTCAGATAACAGGTAACCATTCCGAAGGGTGCAGAAGGCATCCCAAACATGTCAAGATATGTATGTAAACACGTTGGACTGATAAAAAGAACCTTTATTTAAAAATAATATTGGAAGAAATTAACCTCTTTGAAGGCAATATATTTATTCTTTATATGTTACCAATTTCACAATACTCTGGGAGTCAGAGGATCACATTAAGATGTGTATTACTATTTTCCTATTTTTGTCACTTTCACTTTTAATAACTCTTCTGTTGTGGTTTAGATTCTTTGCTTTCTTGTGACACAAATTGTTATGTGCACTATATCTGTAGACATAAATTAAAGATGTTTGTTTTTATGATTAACATGGATTATTGTGCTGTTCTATTATAAGAATAAGAAGCAGCTCAGCTTCATACAAAATAATAATTAAATAAAATGTTCTGAATTATAGGGTATTATACAAGGACAGTGTATAATCAACACTGACCCAAAGGAAAGATGCATTGTACCAGCAGAAAATGTAAATTTCCACCTGTAGTCCCAACCTACCAGCATAAGTGGCAAAAGATCTTGTATGTAATACATAATAAACAAAGCCCTCTTTGACTTTGGCTGTGCCAAGAGGCGTCACTGGTCTAGTCATTGAAGACTTAATTATAGCTGTACCTTAGTTCCACACATAACTCAAGTTGTCTGTAGGTCACACATTAACTAAGTTAAGTAAGTCTGGAAAAGAGAGGTCAGTGGCACAGCATCATAAGTGGGACTATGTTTTGGATCATTATACTGGCGAAAATCTTCACAGAATGTGCAAGTACGTATATTTTAATATGTTCACACCATAATCTATGATGACATCATAGACACTGCAAATTTGTGACTCCTTGAGAATTTATATTGACTTATTTGAACAGAGACTCTCTGCATGACAAAATCTCAAGGACTCATTTTTGTGTATAGTAAAAGTAGGTTGATTATTGTTTCAGGTCAAACAGCAGCGCCAACTACAGGATTTACAACAGGTAAAGTAAACTATAAAACTATAAACTATATAAAGTATTTCACAATTCAGAGTGGCATTTCAGTCAAAAGTGTGGTTTTAATTGGCTTACCTTATCTGTGTTATTCACTAGTAGCGGTACACATGGCAGATTGCGCAGGCCCACCACTGCTCTGTTGCTCTGGGAGGAACAACAGCTGCTTCAAGGGAAATATTGGCTATTGTTTTTGTGATGAGGCGTGCGTGATTTTCAGAGACTGCTGCTCTGATTATAACTCTTCCTGTGGACAAAGTAAAAATGTTTTGTCATTTAAATTGCTCAAATGTCATGGTGTTTAAAAGTGAAAACACTGTTAAATGTTTTCTTTAAGATGCAACAAGTCCCACAGTACCAACACAAAACACAACTGCACCAGACAGTACTCCAGGTATTACTTCCAAATATTATTTCAACCTCACTGTTATTACTATTATTATTAACATATAAATAAAAGTAATCAGGGGAAACTGTCAAGAAAGCATAAACATAAACTTCCCTGTAAATCAAAGTGCAGCATTTCACGAAGTAGATTTTCACTCAGTCCCAATCTCAAAAAAACAAAACAAAACAGTGCTAGATCTTGAACTACACCATCCAGTTTTTCATGGCCTTTATTTTATCTGTGTTATTTATAGACTGTATGTGTATTCTAACTAGCTCGGACCACTAATAATTTGCATTACGAGGCATGGGCTTGACCACTAACTTTTAGCTAAATAACGATCAACAAAACTGATTTGGCCGTGTTTCTGTGTTTATGTGTGAATAATACAACATCACAGTCCTGTACTTTACCTGCAACATCCTGCTCCGCCAGACAGACTTGTTAGTTAGTTAGTTTGTTAGTTAGTTAGTTAGTTAGTTTGTTTGTTTGATTTCCAGGATCGAGCATGTCTCTCATTAAAACAAGCTCCACCGTGGACTCTCCTCACCCGCAGGGCCCACGTAACGTGACATCTCCACCGGCAGGGGGCAGTACTAGCACAGTGTACTCAAACTCTCCTGCGGGTCCAGGTCATGAATCGGGTCCAGGTCATGCATCTGGTCCAGGTGCACTTCCTAGTCACTAGAATTAAAATGTCCAGTACTAAGTAGGCTACAATAACTGTATTATTCCTTATAGGTAGCCAAAGAGCAACAGCTTACCTCAAAATAAATGTTCAAACCGCTTCAGGGGAAAATCAGGAAACCATTCTCAACAGCATATCTAATGTAAGTAGACTTTTGCCACATCTAAGTTTTATCATATTTATGTAGGCCTAAATGTGATTTGTCCATGCATAACTTGGGCCTTTTCTGTCTCCAGTTTGTTTCCCAGAATCTTCTCCAGATGTGTGAAAATTGCACTTTTACAGTGAGACCCTCAAAAACAACATCAGCACAGGGCTCTCCTTAAAAATAACAATAGGAAACCTTACTTTTTTTCCTAAGATGGCTGTAGGTTCCAGAGTCATACAAATGTAGCACAATGGACTGAATTCAAAATTAAATGTCTTCTGAATGAGCAAAAGTTTTCAAAAAAGCAACAGGAAGCTGAGACCCATGTATGCTTATTCTGAACGCTCAAATGGATTTTTTGTGAATTACACGAAAACTAATTACAGCGATATATGGTTTCAGCAGACAGTAACATTGCTGTTTTATAGGCTCTATTCACACTTATGTCAACCGGAAGACATTTGAAAACATGTGGATGACGACTTCCTTTGGGCTCTGTTGGCGATTGTAACTCTATCTATAAATTCTGGGAAAACTGAGAAAATGACCCGGTTTTCTTCATCTAGATGTCATTGTATTCTTTCTTTTTTCCTTTTATAAACTGCCTATTAATTTGCGTATTATAATATGTTTCATGAAAAAAAAAGATGTCATTGTAGCATTCTTTTATGTTCGGCAGATCAACAGTTACAACCAGCTGCCTGAAAGTGACATCAAGCTGTGATTAGAATCACATCCCCCTTGCATGGAAAGCTTTGGCAGATTGTGAAGAGCTCTGTTGCTAAATCCATGGTTTTACAACATGCAGTTATAATATGGTTTTCTTTGTAAATAAAAAGTTTTCACTCTTTATACTGATGATCTTGTGTGTCAGTGTTTATTCATCATCTACACTGTGAACACCAATAAAAAATAAAGACAAGTAGAGACAATTGGTCAGCTCTACATACATCAACTTTAAAATAAATATAGAATATCAAAATAATATTTCCCGTTTTCACCTATATTTCACCAGCGGTTGTTGAGTTGCATTTCTTTTAAGTTTGACATCTTTTCTATATGCTTTTTCTCTCTTTATATCTTCTTTTCTCTCTTTCGCCGCTACCCTTTCTCATGCTCTGTTTATTTCCAATAAAGTAAAAGGTCACATGACTCAAAAGATAAATCATTTGTTCAAAGTTTATCAAATTAATAATAGTGGTAGTCTGACAAGTCTTAACATTTGAACTGATAAAGATTTTTTACCATGAAAACAAATATACAGACATTACAGTAAGTTACACAGCTGGAAAATCTGAAATAAAAGGCTCTTAAAGGTAATTGCCATCTGTGGTGCAGTTCACCTGATTTTATAACAAAAAGGTAGTAGGCTACCTAGACAAACACAATATTGACTTCAGAGGGCAAGAGGGCACTGCCTGAAATGTTTACATAGACACAGGCCATTAACAGGTGGCTACTGTTTAAAAAAAAAAACTCCAGGTCTAACTCTTCTATTGTGGCTCAAATTGTTATGTGAACTAAATCTGTAGACATAAATTAAAGATTTTTTTTTATGAGTAACGGATTATTGTGCTGTCCTTTTATTGTAAGTAGCAGCTAATACAGCTTAAAGACTTCATACAAATGAATAATTAAATAAAATGTTTTATTGTGTCATCTTGTTTGACATTTACAGTCATAATTATCACTGTAAATTTTACATCTGAATTATATGGTATGTTTTTACACAGGTACAGTGAATAATCAACTTTGACCAAAAGGAAAAATGCATTGTACCAGCTGAAAATGCGAATTTCCACCTCTAGAGTCTACCTACCAACATAACTGACAAAAGAGCTTGTATTTAATACATAATAAACAAAGCCCTCTTTGACTTTGGCTGTGCGTCACTGGTCTAGTCACTGATGACATGATCAGCTGTACCTTCATTCCAAACTCGCGCCGCCTGTTGGTCACGCATTAACAGAAAAAACCCTTGATTGCCACTTAGATCAGCTCAGTCCTAGGTCAAGCAAGTCTAAAAAAGAGAGGTCAGTGGCACAGCATCATGGGTGGGACTATGATTTGGATCATTACACTGGTGAAAATCTTCATAGAATGTGCCAGTAATCATATTTTAATATTTTCACACCAGGTATTCAGTGACTTCTTGAGGACTTATAATGACTTATTTGAACAGAGACTCTCTCTGAATGACAGTATCTCAAAAGGATTAATTTTGTTTTAGTAAAAGTAGGTAATTATTGTTCCAGGTCAAACAGCGGCACCAACAACAGGTTTTACTCAGCTCAACTCAACAGGTAAAGATATAAACTATTTCACAATTCAGAGCAGCATTTCAGTCAAAAGTGTGGTTTTAATTGACTTATCTGTGTTATTTACTAGTAGCAGTACAGATAGCAGGTTGTGCGGTCCCACCACTGCTCTGTTGCTCAGGGAGGAACAATACCTGCAACAGGGGCTGTTTTTGTGATGAGGCGTGCGTGAGCCTCAGAGACTGTTGCTCTGATTATAACTCTTCCTGAGGACAAAGTAAAAATGTATTTTTTTCATTTAAATTGATCAAATATTATGGTGTTTGAAAATGAAAACACTGTTAAATGTTTTCTTTAAGATGCGACAAGTCCCACATCAGGATCTACACAAAACACAGCTGCACCAGACACTCCAGGTATTACTTCCAAATATCATTATTTCAACATTACTGTTATTACTATTATTAGCAATATATAATTAAAATCAAATCAGGAGAAACTGTCAAGAAAGACTTGCAGTTTACAGCATAAACATACACTTCCCTGAATGTGGTGCTTTTTTTTTTTTTACACATATTTATCCTTGTGTATTCTAACTAACTATTTAATTTATAAAACTGTGTAATTTATAAACTGTGTAATAAAAATGAAACACAACGTACTTTACAGTCATTAAAAACGATGCCACCACCCACCCTACCACCAGCAGGAGGCAGCACTATCACAGTGTACACAGACTCTCCTGCCATCAGTCCAGTTCAGCCTAGGTGCATTCACTGATTACTAGAATTAAACGGTAGCTTATATGTCCAGTACTAAATAGGCTACAATAACTGTACTATTCCTTATATTCAGGGGAAAATGAGGAAACCATTCTCAACAGTGTATCTAATGAAAGTAGACTTTTGCCACATCTAAGTTATATCATATTCATGTAAATGTGATTTGTCCATGCATAACTTGGGCCTTTTCTGTCTCCAGTTTGTTTCCCAGAATCTTCTCCAGATGTGTGAAAATTGCACTTTTACAGTGAGACCCTCAAAAACAACATCAGCACCTCGGATGTAGGCTATCTATGAAAACAATTAGGCTATTGAAATGTTAGGTATATGTTTGTTTGTTTTTTCCTAACATGACTGTAGGCCTATATCATATGTCTGTAGGTTCCAGAGTCATACAAATGTAGCACAATGAAGTGAATTCAAAACTAAATGCCTTCTGGAGGGGCAAAAGTTGCAAAAGTCTTCAAAAAAGCAACAAGAAACCCAATCTGATCATCATCATCACAGATATTTAAATATTGAATGTAATATATTTTATTATTTTTTATTATTTTACTAAGTTCAATAAAATAATGTACACGTGTTTCTTTGGTTCTTTACTTGTCTCTTGTTTTTTGTGCGTTGATACCAAGGTAGAGACAATTGAGTCCACTTTACCAGCAGAGGGCACTACCTGCACTGTTTATATAGACAGGCCATTAACAGGTAGGCTACTAAAACCTTCCTTCTTAGACAGTCCTCAAACCCATTTTGAATGCAGCAATAAATAATATAGTCAGTATATGCAAGAACATTTTACAACTGGACTGCTTTAGGCTTTTCATTTCTGATAGGATGGAAAATGGCCTTGAATCCAGCTCAGGGTATATGGTCAAATCCGTAGAAAAACCCGTAGCTTACTTGCTAATTTAGCACGTTGCACTTAAATTAGTACAAATTATTTATGTTATATTTGCCACTGTTAAAACAATACAATCAACACAGAGCCTATTATAGAGCTCCATAGATGCTGAACAGTCAAAAAAAAAAAAAAAAAAAAAGATAGGGCGTTATCTTATTTGTCACGCACGTCTGACGCGCCGATGTTTACAGGTTTGGGCTGTAAATCACTATGTAACTTTGTCTAAAATGTAGTCTATATGAGCCTAATTTAAAATTTTCATTTGAAATATTATTGTTATGTTCTAGGCGTTTTTTTATTTACAGGTTATGTGTATTATAAAAGTAATAAATTGGCTGTAAAATAAATAAATAGGGTGCAAACAGTGTGAATTTGGCTACTTTAATAGGCCTATACATTTTAAAATAAAAGTAAAATCTTCTGAAAAAAACATCAAGGTACATCTTAAAGGATAACTGCAGGGCTAGTCTAAAACATCAAGGAAGTGTTGTTTGGCTTCATTGGTCTAAACAGTTCCCCATCACTTGAAGGCAGAGGATGAGACAAAAATTTAATTAAGAGGGCACAAGAGGAAACAGGTCCACACAGCCTCAGGGGCCGATGTAACCTCTTGGAGCGGATAGTTCAAATTAGACCGGATTGTCAGTCCAGACCCACCTTTGGCCCTAGGATCTAATTGGTAGGAGTACCTTCTTTTCCTTTTCTCTGACTTTGGCCACTGGACTAGAATGCACATTGTCTATAGCTCTCTGGTGTCATTGCTAATCTGAGACTTTCTCCGAGTGTCCACAACAGTAACGTCACCAGTGTATGGTGCAAATCAGAAGCGTGTGTTCCCTTTTAAACTCTTCTCCTCAATCCTCATGTGCAATTGAAGTTAATTCATAGACCAAGACTGGGGTTCACGTTTCGCCACAGCTTTGTAAACTTAGATCATGTGGGGTCAGCGGGAGTTGAAGCAGCCCTGTAGCTCCCTGCAGCCCTCTCTGCACCGTCCACTCTCCAAATATCAGTTACAATGTAATCGCAAAGGAATGTCGCCTACTCTTGACCAACTTATTACTGCATGGGGCTTGAATCTAGCTAGAATAAATTGAAATGATAGATGACATTTTCTATTATTTGTATACTTGGCATCTACTAGAATATTGTAATGGTCTTTAGGGCTGCCTGAAATGGGGAAAATCAAATAACTATAATGCCAAAATAGATTTTTTTTTGTGATTTTACTAATATAATTAGATCAAAGCAGAAATTGGTCTGTGCGTCTACAAAATTTCAGATAACATTTTTTAAAATTTAAATTCATGTTGAACAATTTCCTTCACTTAAAAATGAGCAATGGGTCTGACTGGGAGACCACAACATTATTGCAAACCATATTGAGCACCTCCATTGTATCAGATGTATTTCATAATAATATGACGTGACATATAAGCAGTAGATTACACACATGTCAAGTAATTTTCTCCTAAATTGCAGGTCAGCTCTCCCCCCTCCTCCTCCTTACGTCCCTGCTGTCCGCACCATCAGGCTGCAGAGGTATCCGTGGTTCCCTGTGGTGTTTGGATGTCGAAGGCCTCTCTGTTATTGATCCTGATTGGGCCTCACAGGAGGAGATTCCGGCCTGGCGTTGACCCGGACTTTTCCATGTTTCCACCCTTCTTTCAGATCATCAAGAAGCCGCCGCTGCTCCCTTTCTGCCCAGCTTGCGTGAGATTTCTGATTGTCATATGGAAAAGTAAAAAAAAAAGAAGTTTCTCAAAGAGTTTACTAAATCACTAGCAGGTCTTTGCCTGAGTAGCTAACCTGGAGATTGTCAAAACATCTCCTCATGCATTCACTTACCCTGCTTCTTTCTTATTAGAGAGATTGTGGTTCATAAGCTGCCCTCTTCTTCATAGTCAAACTTGTCAA